CCCACTTGAGAGTGGCAAACCATTACGTTTTCTAAACCCACCGGAGGGTGGCAAAATCCACGTCTTAGCCTACTTGCGAGTAGCACCTTCAAACCATTTTCAAAACGAACATGAGATGTTTTGTTCCAATTCAGGCGATCCGGTCTATACTTGTATGCTGTACGCATCACATAGTAAATCTAGGCTAATAACCGGAATAAGAACACATAATGTTTTCAAAACTCGATATCATGGTTAGTAGAGACTGATCTTTGATCGGGCGAGCGGGGGTGCTCACGAAGTGACCTTCCCCAATCGTACCCAAGTTCCTGAGCCGAGGCAACTTTGGTGATGACAGACACCTGGCCTTAGGCAAACGAGTTAGGGTTTCCTAAATTCTCCAAAATAAAATATTTAGGTGGCGACTCTGTATCTGGCAAAGCAGTCCATGTTTGGCACTTCTTTCAAAAAAATCTATTTTCAAAAAACGATTTGCTGGATCTGGACTCTTTGATGATTCATCGGTCTTGTATTGCACTCTGCGAGATTAGATACAGGACCGTGACATTTGAGTCCTGAACTGTAGTAAGCCCAATGAACAAAACGGGATTCATCCTCCCGGGACATTCGGGGACGTCTACAGTTCTGTTGCCGTTCTTGTTTTAGCGCCGCCTTCTTGCCACTATTATTCTGATCTTTGTAAGTTCCCCTGTGATTCTTCTTTTCCTATCTTTTTCTGTTTTGATCGTTTTGTTTGGCCCTTACACCATTGTCTCCGGCATCTTGTTATCTGAGCTTTGTCTTTGTCCCACTAGGTCTATTTAGTGGGGAAGTTCCGCTCATTAGTTGATACCCCTGAGGCTATGGCCATGTTTCGCCGAGACTATAACATCCCTGATGATGTGACCCTTTCACTGGCAAAGGTTGATGCCAAGCGCATGGACACTAGGAGTACTGTTGCCTTTCCGGTTGAGGCCATTGTTGAGGGAGGGGTTCGGTTTCCCCTCGACCCTCTGGTGCGCCGATTTTTGCACCAAGTTCAGCTTACCCCTATGCAGGTGTCTGTTAACCTGTTCCGAGTCATCTACGGTGTGTTCGCTCTTAACAAGCAGTTGGCATCTGGGATATTTTGGGTTGTTACACTCTTTCACACAACAAGGATCACAGCACGTACTACCTTCGTGTCCGTTCGATCGATTTTCATCTAGTGACTGGTTTGCCTGATTCAGACAAACATAATGATGATTTTTTGCAAGTCGGAGGTAATTGGGAATTCCCTGCTGGGACTAAATTCTAGTCCGAACGGATGCCCCATAAGGATGGTTATCCAGGTTCGATTTTTTCCTTCTACTATCTTTTGTATTTCTTACCTTGTTTTGAATGTTGCTCTAATGTTGCCCTTCTTATTTGCAGAGGCTTCCTGTTTTTAGTGTAGGCCGAACAGGGAGAACACTAAGGTCATCACAGTCGTTTTGAGGTACAAGAAGAGGTCCGCGCCCGAGCTATTGGATTACCAAGCGACTTACCGCTCTACCATTCCAAAGAAGACGAGGCTTGCTGCATCTCTTCTAGATTCTGACACCGAGACTGATACCTCCCTTACCCCTCTGGTTACGAATCGTCGCCAAAGCTAGGGTGTACCGTCTGAGAGGACGCCCTCTACTGCCCCCAGTTTTGCAGGGGGTAGGTCTATGTCGAAAAGGAGAGTGCTAGTGGATTTGGAGGCTAAGGCTTTTGGCTCCGCTGATGCTTTGGAGGCTCCTTCAGTGAAGGCCGAAACGAAGAGCCTTATGGATGTAAATTGGAGGTTGGAGCTTCTGGAGCTCTCATGTTACTGTTGCCGAACCTTCTGCTTCGGTTGCTGCAAGAGCGAAGAAGAGGAGGAGGGAGACTAGCAAGGCAGTAGTTGGAGAAGCTTCTGAAGATCCCATTGAGGACGAGCCATTTGAGAAGTGGGAGCCGCCAATGTTGCCTCAAGGTAGGCTTATTTCTACTTCAAATTCGGTTGTTGCTTCCAAAGATTTTGCTTTTGACCTGACCAAGACCCTGTTGATACCGGTGGACATGGCTGATCATAATGGGCCCCGCGATATTCTAGTTATGAAGGGAACCCTTCAAATGATGATTGTTGTATGTGTGTTCTTGTTTGTTTGTTTGTTTTCTTTTTTTTTTTTTTTTTTTGGTATTATGCTACTGTTTTCTTTCCCTTAATACTTTGCAATCTGTCATAGTGTATTCAGAGGATGCATCTGTTCATCACCAGAGCAGAGGAACTAGAGAAGACCGTACTGGAGGCCGCTATGAATGCTAAAAGACTGACGGTGAGCCTGGAAGCCGAGAAGACCGTACTGGAGGATGCAGAACTGCTGAGAGGGAGGCGTTCCGTCTGAGCAAGGTTGTTACTCGGCTGAAAATTCAAAAAAAGCTGTCATTGGGGTACAGGCCCAACTCGAAGGGAAAGTGGTAGAGCTGGAGGCTGTTATTGCAGTGATGGCCACTGAACGTTCTGCATTGGAGGCCAAGTATTGGCAGCAAGGTTGGGATGAGGCTGGTGCTGCTTACAAAGAAGAGGTGCTAGTGCTGCAGGATAAGCTCTTTCTGTTTCCCTTAATACTTTGCAATCTGTCATAGTGTATTTAGAGGATGCATCTGTTCATCACCAGAGCAGAGGAACTAGAGAAGACCGTACTGGAGGCCGCTATGAATGCTAAGAGACTGACGGTGAGCCTGGAAGCCGAGAAGACCGTACTGGAGGATGCAGAACTGCCGAGAGGGAGGCGTTCCGTCTGAGCAAGGTTGTTACTTCGGCTGAAAATTCAAAAAAAGTTGTCATTGGGGTACAGGCCCAACTCGAAGGGAAAGTGGTAGAGCTGGAGGCTGTTATTGCGGTGATGGCCACTGAACGTTCTGCATTGGAGGCCAAGTATTGGCAGCAAGGTTGGGATGAGGCTGGTGCTGCTTACAAAGAAGAGGTGCTAGTGCTGCAGGATAAGCTCTTTCTGAAGGGTTGGTCAAGCGCTCTGGTTGCTGCCTAGGTTCCTGAAGCGTCTCCCTTGTTTCAGGATGTCCCTATTTCCTCGAGGTCCTTGGGACCAAAGACTGTTGCTACCTCTGCAATTCTTCCGGCTAAGGTTACCCCGGAAACTGATTTTGTGATCAAGACTTAAGAGAGCGATGTTGCCAATAAGGCAGTGAACGTTAAAGGGGGTGGAACCCTGGAGACTGAAGCCGTGAAAGATGTGGTTAAGGAACCTTCTACTTCTCAAGAAGTTGGAGTTGCCTCTACTTTTCCTCCCCAAGACGACCTGGACAAGATTGTGGACACTGCTCCTAAGGTTCCTTCTGTTGATGAAAGCTAAAGTCTTCTTTGGAATGATTCGAAGTTTTTGCTTTTTCTCATTTTCTTTCATTTTCATGTTTGTTATGTACTGCAGCTCGGTCTTCCTGATGAGTTGTCTCTTTATATTTGCCAAGACAATTTTCTTCTGTTTTGTTGCTGTTTGTTAGGCCGGCTGTGCCTTTGTTGGATGATGGAATTTTCCTATTGATTTTGTAATCTGATGTTTTCTTACTTCTATGTCTGAATGTTATCTGTATTGTTTGCCCCCGGCCGAGCACTGTTGGGACCTCAGGGCTGAATAGATGCTCAGTCTAGTTAACGAATATGTTGCATGCCTGTGCTTGGTTTTGTAATGAAAAAAGAGGGTCTTACTTAGCTCTAGATTGGTTCTAAAAAACAATTGTTTGCTCCCACCTGGAGCTAAGTAAGATCAGTACTGAGGACTGTGTTCTTTAGGCAGAGCTGCTTAAGTATGTTCCAACTTTGATAGCATAAGTGCATTTGAATAGGGTAAAGGTATAAAGAGGTATCTTACTCAGGTCCAGGTCGGTTTGAAAAAACAGTTGTTTGCCCCCACCTAGAGTTGAGTAAGACTAGTGCTGGAAGTTTGCTCCTGATAGAGTCCAAGTTTGTTCCAACTCTGTTTGTATGCAGCAATATTGAAGTGTTGATGTGATGATACTTAAGAAGTTCTGTGGACTCATAAGTGTTTACTTTAAATATGTTAGTGCGGTTTCCACAAAGCAATTCCACTTGGCTAAAGTCCAATTTCGTTGCCAAACATAATTCCACCAAGCAATTCCACTTGGCATGTTTGAGTGCTAACTAAAATTTAATTCCGTTCAGTCGTTTTGAAACTAAGTCCATTTGGGTTAAGACCAAAGCTGAGTTCGTTTGATACACATCAAATCTAATTCCGTTTGATAAATATCAAAGCTATTTTCGTTTGATAAGCATCAAAGCTATTTTCGTTTGGTGAACACCATAGCTAATTCCGTTTGATAAACATCAAAACTATTTTCGTTTGGTAAGTACCAAAGCTAATTCCGTTTGATAAACATCAAAGCTATTTCTGTTTGGTGAACACTAAAGCTAATTACAAAAATTTGATAAATTTGAGAGAAGGGGGGAGGCATTTGCATTGGTCAAAGATAAATGTCTTTACATTCTGATAGAGAAGTTGGGGTATAAGTCTATTGATAGTATTTCTTGAGATTTGCAATATTCCAGGGCCGAGGTATGGCTCTGCCTTTGAGATCCTCTAGGTAATAAGCTCCATTTCCAGCAACAACTGTGACTTTGTACGGACCTTCCCATTTAGGCCCAAGTTTTCCGTCGCTAGGGACCGTTTTATGATCTATAATTTTCCTCAAAACCAGTTCTCCAGGTGTGAATTTTCTTGGGAAAACTTTTTGGTTGAAACTTTTGATGAGTTACTGCTGATATGCTACAAGTCTAATTAGTGCTGCTTCTTTTCGACCTTCTGCCATATCCAGTGCTTGTGCAATAGCTTCCTCATTACTTGTGCTTTCAAACAATTCAGACCGGAGGGTTGGGAGACCTACTTCGCCGGGGATAATGGCCTCTATTCCGTAAGTTAGGGAGTAAAGTGTTTCCCCCGTTGAGCGTCGCGTCGTGTTGTGGTTCGGTAAGCCCATAGCACATGGGGTAACTCTTCAACCTATTTTCCTTTTGCATGTTTGAGCCGCTTTTTTACTCCGTTGATGATGGTTTTGTTCGACGCTTCTGCCTGCCCATTACTTTGTGGGTAGCCTGGAGAAGAGTTTCGATATTCGATTCTGAGGTCGGCGCAAAACTTTCTCAAGATCTTTTCATCAAACTGTGTTCCATTATCTGCAATCAGTACTCGCGAGATGCCGAAACGAACCACGACGTTCCTCATGACAAACCGCTTTGTGTCTCCTTCTTTGATACTTGCCAGTGCTTCCACTTTAACCCACTTAGTGAAATAGTCGATTGTAGCGATGAAGAATTGCCTGTTCCCAGTGCCTCGTGCCAACGGTCCGACAATATCCAGACCCCATTGGACAAAGGGCCATGAGTTGGTGAGTGAAGTGAGAGTTTTGGCTGGCTGATGAATTAGTGGGACAAACCTCTGACATTTATCGCACCTCCGAACGTACTGCTGTGCATCTTGTTGCATCCGTGGCCACCAGTACCCATAAGTGAGGGCTCGGTGCACCAGTGACCTTCCACCAATGTGGCATCCACAAATCCCATCATGAATTTCGTAGAGAACATTTTCGACCAGATTTGGATGCGCAAATAAAAGATAAGGACCGAGATAGGAACGTCTGTATAGCTTCCCAGATAGTGAGACTTAGAACCGAGCTGACCTGTGTCAGATTTTGTTGGCTTCCTTTTTATCTTTAGGAAGAGTGCCAAATTTCAGAAAAGTAAGTATCGGATCCATCCAGCTTGGCTCTAGGTTGCTACAGAGGACTGGAGATGCAATGCTTGGTTCTGGCACGAACTCAACCCAAACTTTTCTAGCGTCTTTGGTATCTACTGATGAGCCAAGGCAGGCCAGAGCATCAGCATGGCTGTTTTTGTCCCGACTGATTCATTCCACTCGTATGGATCGAAATTTCTTGAGTAGATCCTTGGCCTTGCTTGCATACATAACCATTCTTTTGTCTCGTGCTTCATAGACCCCAGAAAGTTGGTTTACCACCAATTGTGAATCACTGAAAATAAGAAGTTGCTCTGCACTGAAGTGTTCAGCACTGCGTAAACCAGCCAACAGTGCTTCATATTTCGCCTCATTGTTAGAAGCCTTCCAGCCGAGCCTAAGAGCTTGCTCCCAAATAAACTCTTTTGGTGACATAAGTACTACCCCTGCTCCCAAACCTCAGTTATTGGATGATCCGTTGACATAGAGCTGCCAAATGTTTCCAATAGAGAGTTTCCATGCTTCTGAAGCGCATTATTTTCCCAGTTCGGTAGTGCATGGCGTTTGTGCCGAACTGGAGTTCTCAAGCTCGATACTCTGGGTGGGAGCGAATTCTGCGACGAAATCTGCCAAGACCTAGGCCTTGATTACTGTCTTAGGTTGATATCGAATGTCAAACTCACCAAGATCTACCACCTATTTTGTTGTGCGGCCAGAGAAATCAGCTCAGCTGAAGACAGATCTGAGGAGGAATTCAGTGAGGACATTGATAGTATGCCCCTAGAAGTAATGTTGCAACTTTCTTGAGGCGATAAGCAATGCGTAAGCTAACTTTTCCAAGGGTAGATATCGTATCTCGGCATCTAGTAGAGTCTTGCTTACATAGTATACTGGCCTCTGTTCCTTGTTAATTTCTCAAATAAATACGGCGCTTACGGCGTGATCTGAGACTGCTAGATATAAGTACAGTTCCTCCTCTAGTTCTGGAGTGGACAGAAGAGGTGGTGCACTGAGGTATATTTTGAGACTTTGCAATGTTTCGGTACACTCAGAACTCCATTTAAACGATACCTTTTTTCTTAGTTACTGGAAGAAGGGCTTCATCCGATTTGAAGACTTACTGATGAACCGATTTAGGGCGGTCGCCATTCCGGCCAACTTCTGTAGCTCTTTAGCCTTTGTTGGTACTTTAAGCTCTTGTATTACTTTGATTTGATCCGGATTTGCCTCGATTCCTCTGTGAGTGGCCATATACCCCAAGAACTTCCCTGTTCCTACCCCGACAGCGCATTTCGAGGCATTAAGACGAAGCTGATGGTTTTTCAGGATGTCAAAAACTTCTCTTAAGTCAGCAAGGTGGTTTATAGCGAGCTTGCTTTTTACTACCATGTCATCTATATAAGCTTCCATGATTTTTCCAAGTTGGTCCTTGAACATTCGAGTGATCATTCGCTGGTAGGTTGCCCTGACGTTCTTGAGGCTGAATGACATTACTTTGTAGCAATAAGTGCCCCTTAGAGTGATAAACGATGTCTTCTCCTGATCTGGACCGAACAGTGGTATCTTTTGATAACCACTGTAAGCATCTAGAAAGCTCATATGCTCATGCCCTGCTGTTGAATCCACTAGCTGATCGACGCGAGGTGGAGGAAAACTGTCATTGGGACAAACTCTGTTCAAGCAGGTGAAGTCAACATAGACTCTCTATTTTCTATTCTTCTTTTTAACTATAACTGTGTTGGACAGCCATTGTGGGTACTAAACTTCTCTAATCGCTCCTGATGCTAGGAGCTTTTCGACTTCTGCAATTACCGCTTCAATGTGCTCAATTGAGGATCTCCGACTTTTCTGCACGACAGGTCGAGCGAAGGGGTTGATGTTGAGTTTGTAACAAGCAATTTCTGGGTTTAACCCTGGAGTATCATATGCTGACCATGTGAATACCTCCATATTTTCCCTCAGCAATTCCAGCAGCTGAAGTTTCTCATTACCGCCTAGCGAGGTACCGATAAGGAAGTACTTTTCTGGATCATCATCTTTTACTAGGACTTTCTCCAAATCCTATACCATCTTTTCCTTTGGGGCTCCCTCTACATCTTCCAAGACTGGCTGTTCGGCCACTTCCACTGTCTGTACCCGGTTGCAAAGTTGTTTAGCCTTCATTACTGGCATGAAGCAATGTTTGGAGGCAACTTGGTCCCCTGAGATTTGCTGTACTCCATGTTCTGTTGGGAAACGGATGAGCTGGTGGTAGGTTGAAAGGACCGCCTCCATTTGGTGAATCCATGGACGGCTGAGTATGGCGTTGTAAGGAAAAGGTGTATTAATAACTAAAAACTCTATCTGGAGGGTGTTCGTTCCTGCCACAACTGGCAACACTATCTTGCCAAGTGGCCCATTTTGGTTGTGAATTGAAGCCCACTAATGGAGCTGCTGCTGGGGTGAGGTGCTGCTCAGAGAGACTAAGCTTTCTGAACAAGTCATAATACAATATGTCTGCTGCACTGCCTTGATCTACCAGAACTCGTTTTATGTCAAACCGTTTCCCAATTCCCACAGTTATAATGAGTGCATCAGTATGTGGGTGTTGTACGCCTTCTAAATCCTTTCTAGTAAACGAAATAGTGCACAAGGGGGACTTGGGTACTGCGCGTACCTTTTTCGATGCGGGCTTTACTAACATGACCTGCTGAATTTGTACAGTCTTAGCAATTTCTTCTTTTAGTGCCTTTTCGCGCTCCTGGGTCATTGTTCCATGGATTACATTTATTACCAGCCGAGGTGGGTGTTCGATGTTCGGTTCTGGTGGTGGGTTCCCCGGCTCGGCCACTGCTTTATCCTGATCAATATAGTCTCGGAGGTGTCCAACTGCTACTAGATCTTCCAGGTGTTGCTTCAGTGCTCTGTAATTCTGAATCATATGCCCCCTCTCTTAGTGATAAGTGCATCTGAGCTTCTAGTTACGCCGAGCCGGATCTCCCAACATTTTCGGCGGCCAAATAAAGAAGGGCTCCCGCTTGATCTTTTCCAAGATATGATAGATTGGTTCTTTGAATACAGTCACGACTGCTTCGTGAGAGTTGGACTTATCCACCTCATTCACTGTGAGTACCCGGTGTTCCCCTCGGTCCATTCTCTTCTTGTGCTAAGCTGTTTGTTCTGTTGATGCTACCTCGATAGGGATCTAGTCATCTTCAAGGTGAGCGTACTGCTCAATCCTGGCATGCAAATCTTTCAGTGCTGTGGCTGAGTGCTTGGTCAGTGACTGTCTCAACTTACTTTCCGGGCGCAGACCATGTTTGAAGGACGCAACAACCATTTGCTCACTGCAAATCTTTTCCTCTAAGTCATTGTACTCTTCTCAATACCTCCTAGCATAATTGCGCAGCATTTCTTCATGTTCCTTTCGGAGGCCGAACAGTGTATCCGGCTCTTTCGAGATCTTAGTGTTGGAGATGAACCTGGCTAAGAACTCTTCAGAGAGCTGTTTCTAGTCGTAAATTGATCCAGTGGGGAGTCTATCGAACTATCGAAGCCTGGATTCTCCCAAGCTGGACGGGAAGACTTTGCACATCAGTGCTTCGTCTCGGCTCCATAGAGACATCATCTGTCTATAATGGCTGATGTGCGTCAATGGGTCTGACTTCCCATCGTATGACGTGAACTTTGGCGGGGTGAATTTCTTGAGAGGTCTCATAGCCTCGATTTCCGAGGAGAATGGAGAAGAGACAAGCCTATCCAATGCTTGGTGCTCTCTCTGGTGGATGGTACGGTCTGGATGATCTCAACATTCACTACAACAAAAAGCATTTTTTGCGACGTTTTTTAGCAACAAAATTGAATTTGGTTGCCAATTGTATTTTTTTGGCGGCAATATACGTGTTGGTCGCCAAAAAATACACCATTAGCAACAAATATCTCAATTCGTCGCGAAAAAATGGTTGGCGCCAATTTAATTTTTTGCGCGGGAGTGCTAAAAAAGTTTTGGCGACGAAATTAAAATAGTCGCTGAAAGGTGAATGATATTTATGGCAACATAATAATTTTCGTCGCCAATAAATTTCTTTGTCAAAACGACGTCGTTTTGAATCTGTCTTTTTTTTTTTTCTTTTTTTTTAAATGACTTTTAAGTGAATAAACAAAAGTGACCTAAAAGGAGACTTCTTCATCTTCTCATTTCAGAACCTGAAGCGGCACAAACAGGTATGTTTTCTCTCCCTCTTCTTCGTCTCCCTCTCCCTCTCCCTCTCATTCTCCCTCTCCCTCTCACTCTCACTCACTCACACTGTGAGAGTTTCAGACTGATATTGTGATTTTCGGGATTGATTTATTCTAATTTTTGGACTGATTTTGAAACTAATTTTTGGGACTGGTATGTTCAGAATTTTTGGACTGATTTTTGTAAGAAACAAAATCTAGATTTTGATTCTTGTGAAATCTGGTTTGAGTTTGGTAGTTTGATCATTTGTTGAACCAATGTTTTGTGCTAGGCATTAAGCTTTGATTTTAGTGAATATTTTGAAATTTTGATGATTTCAGAGACATTAGAGTAATTATAGGTGATCTTGAGTAATTGTTTTTTGGTGTACATTTTGTAAATGGTTTTTTCACAACCACCACGTGTTTGTGTGTTGGTTTGAAAGAGACAAAAAGTTGCAGTGGACTAGAATTTGTATGAGCAATTTCTTTGACTATGTGACTAATTAGAGTCATTTTCATTGTTTTCTGTTTTTATATTTTCTGGGTTGTGGATGTGAACTAGAATTTGAATTTTTGTACTGGATTCTCGGCTTTTTTTTGGTTCTTTTGTTGTATTTAATGGTAATATGCACTATATGTTTTCGGATGAGATATGAAGAATACTTATTTTATTTATCCACTTGAGCTGATGCATGAAAAAGTTGTGAATCCACTTCTTTTGCTATTGACATTAGAAATTCTGAGTGTGTTTGTGAGTTCCCTTAATAAACATGATAAATTAGAAGTCGATTGGGCGGGTTATACTTGAATATCATTCTCTAATTAAGCAGGACATATAGATCTCCTTTTCCCATGTTGAGATAGCAGTTAGGGGATTATCACTACAACAAAAAACACATTTTATAACATTTTTTTATAACATTCTTTTGAAAATGCTATAAAATGTGATCCATTTGGGGCATTTTGTAATAAAATAGCATCTGGTCATAACATTTCAATTTTTATAACATTTAATATAATTTTAATAGCTTTTCATATATGTTGTGCAATATTCCGTATTTTCAAGATTTTAATTGCTATGTACAAATGCTATAAATAAAAATATAATGCTATCATAAATATTAAAATGAAAAGACCTAGAATTTGAGAGCTAAACATCTGGCGCTCTTATTTTTCAGGCATTTATTTGTCGCTAAAAGTACATAGCTTATCCAAATTTTAACCTTTTAGCAACAAATTGTAATTTTATAGCGACAAAATATATGATTTTTGGCGACCAATTTTGCTTGTCGCTAAATGTCTACATACGGTGAGAATTTCTGATTTCGTTGCCAATACTTTTAGTGACAGGGCTTTGGCGACAAGTTGTGTATTTTGTCGCCGATTCTTTTGGCGACGAAATTTGTACTTTTGGCGACGAAATTTGTGGGTCGCCAAATGTGTTTTTTGTTGTAGTGATTGCTCATTCTGCTTGTTGCCAATCAGCCAAGTACGAAGGTCTTGAGGAGGGTACTCAGTCTGTTGGCTTATCGTCTTCTGCCTCTTAGCCCTTCTCCGACATGAGCCACAGGTGTGGCTGCTCGCCGCCTCACTTTGTACTGGGATTGGCCGGCTCTGCCGCCCAGATTTGTTTATGGGGATCTTCTTCACCGGTGGTTCTCTGGACGAGCTTCTCTGTCGCAGGCGAGAGGGCTCTGCGTCAGTCCTCTTCTCCGTCGAATCACCCAGCACCCTTTTGAGTTGCGCTTTCAGCTCCTGTATCTCCATCTCTATGGAGTCTATGATTCGATCTCTGTAATCCTTTAAGAAAGTGATGAGAAGAACCTCCAGCGAAGGGCAATCGATGCTCAACAGATTCGGGAGTCCGGTTATTGTTTCCAGTTTGTTCTTCTAAGACTATTAGGAGTGCCAAGCCTTTGTCATTTGTCTTCTCCGTCTGTGGAGTATGCGCCCAAGGTGGGATGTCCTCAATCCCCATCACCGGAATCGAGTGCAGAGCTCAGAGACAAAGCGTCCACGCTCACCGCACCAATTGTGCGTACCGGATACTGCACTAGATGAAAGTGGATCGGAGCTCCGCCATCGATTGGACTATCCAAGAATTGAGGTCTTGCAGCAAGGAACATCGTAAGAGCTGCCCGGCCGGGGTTGGCCGAACAACCCCTCCGGTGTGAAAATGAGTAATCGGAGAAGAAGGGAGGTGAACTCTAAGTGTAGAGAGTTGAGTTTCAGTAAGTAGGGTTCAACTTAGATCAGTTACCTTCAATGTGAAGTTCATGTAGTTTATATAGAACTTCTTGCTTGTTGCCCAAGATAGTTTCACGGAGCTCTGGTACTGCCAAGTTTTCTTTTAGCATTGCCTAAGGTGGGGGATTATCTGGTAGTTGTCATGAGGTGCATATACTCATTGTAGTCATGCTAATAACAAACCACATTCCTCTGGTTTAACTGTTTCCGTGATTTTAGATGTAGGGGACCAGCTGAGGTGGCAACTTACACATGCATATACTCACAGCTTCCACGTTTCTTTGAGAGGTTCCCTCAGCTCGACACCTTTGTGCCTCGGCTCGGCCCTTTGTGGGACTACTGTAGAGATGAGCTGGCCCATTCGGATATCTTTGTGTGGACTCAGCCCACTTCGGTTCTGATGATGGGTTCAACCGATCAATTCGGCCCATGGTTTGAGTTCTGCAGCTTGGCCCAGCCCAGTATCGTGGTTGGATTAGCCTTTTCACTGCGAGTTGGGTCCAAGTGTTTGAAGACTTGGGTGGACTGTTGGTAATGGAATTGAGTTTAGTTGGCTTGCCTATATGTTCATTTGACCCATTTAGATTTAGGTTTAAAATATTGGACCAGCCCAAGGTTTGAATTTGACCCATTTCATATTTAGCCCCTTCACTTTCTATATTATTAAAAATAACATTTATGTTGTATTTAGAATATATTATAAAAAACTTGATGTATTTTAACATATTTTTAAAAGTTGGACGTAAGAATAATAATAAATTTTTAACCACTTTTATTGGTGGAATCAATATTTGTTGGACTTGATAAGTTGATAGTATGTATATAGTGATAAATTGTTTTTAACTAATTGAACCATTTTTTACGGTTGGGTTTGATTTAGCACTACAATATATAAAAATTTTAGGAATTAAATTTTTTTTGTCTTAAAAATTTTGTTGCAAAAAATACTTAACAATTCTTGTCTTCGCGAAGATAGTTACTACTAGGTAGTCTCAAAAAATAAAAAATAGGATTTTTAGCGGTAAAATTTTAAAAATATCATTAATGATAATTTGGTCCAAAAAATATTTATTTTTTGAGACATAAATTTTGGTCCCAAAAGAAAAATAATTCATCACTAATGTCCAAATTTCATCGCTAAAAATATAAGAATGATATTTTTAGCAACAAGAATATTTGGTCCCTATAAAGTTATTTTGTCTTTAAATTTTTATTTCTAAAACCTTAATTTATTGTATTATAGTTTTGGAAATATTACAATTTAGTTTAATTCCTAAATTTAAAAAATAACAATACCACTTTTTTTTTTTTTTTTGGTAATCAAAATAACAATAATACAAATTAAAAAAAAAAATGGTACTTAGAAAAACACATTAATAAATTACAAGCATTCTAAGTATGACCCATATTTCACCAACTTTTTAATATACACTACAAATCTTATTTTGAGTTAAATTTCATGACAATGGCACATAGCATTTCTAATTTCATCATCTATGAATTTTTACATTTATTACCTAAACAATAATACTTATCGTTTATTTTTAAAAATAAATATGATTTAAACATATAGTTATCGATATTTAATATTCACTCATCTTGATTTTTTATAAAAATATTATATTCAACAAGTTTTAAAATGAACGACTTAAATTACCAAAATGAGTCCTGAAACAAGCCCACTAGGCCCAACTATTTAAGGGGATACTTCATAGGATTGGGTGGTTCCGCTTGTGCCAATTTAGTTGGAATGAGTAGATTTTACTATGATACTTATAGTACTCCCTCTTTTCTTTTTCCTTATCTTTATTAATATATGATATAAAGAATTTATTTTTTATTCTAATTCAAAATAATTTTCTATTTTGCTGATATATAAAATAAAAGTTAGATGGTTAACTAAACAGAATCTAAGCCATTATTTGGAATTCATATAGCAAGCTAGTCCTCTCCTCTTCATGTATATTATATATAAGATACAATAGATTTGTATCTAATCATGTAGCTCCTCAGTAAGTCAGATCACATGGCCTGCTCCCATTCAACACATCAAACGGCCATGATAAAAACCCACCAAATCATCAAAAGATCAACAGTCCTAGGATCTGCCCAATATCCAACTTCAAGATTGCCGGCCGTTATAGTGTTTTAGGTGTCAAAAATAGGCCCCAAAATGCCTTTTGTTTCTCATATGACCGGCCACTAACCCTCAGTTGACCTGCCTTTGCTCCCACCATGTCTTCCCTCCTCACCTTCTCTCTATAAAAACCTAGCCATTTCAAACAACCATTAATTCAATCCAAAAAAAAAAAAACCATAACCAAATTGTAGAAAAATTGAATACCCATCTCTTGAAATGGAAAAGGAAGGGCTTGGACTAGAGATCACAGAGCTCAGACTCGGTCTTCCGGCCGGTAACCCTAGTTTTTCAAATAAGAAAAATGAGAAGAAGAGGGTGTTTTCGGAGATGTCCGGTGATCGAAAGAGTTCTACTGGAGAAAACAAGATGCAGAGAGAGAATCAGGTTGTTGGGTGGCCACCGGTGTGTTCATACCGGAGAAAGAACAGTTTTAATGGCATTGAAATGACGAAAATGTATGTGAAAGTTAGCATGGATGGAGCTCCTTTTCTTCGAAAAATCAATTTGAGTTATCATAATGGGTATAGTGATCTTGCAATGGCTCTTGAGAAGCTCTTCGGTTGTTTTGGCATAGGTCAGTGTTCTCATTTCCTTAGTTATGCTTTTTTATCTTTTCGTATTTTTTTAGGTTAGTTGTGATTATTAAAAAAATAATAAAGTGTAATTATAGTGCAGTGTTTATTATGAAAAGTTTATTCATGTTGTGAGTATGCCCTTTTTAAAAATCTATAATGTAGCAACTCCATAATAATATATAACCAGACACTATAATTACACTTTAATTTTTTTAAAAAATTTTAATTGGCAAAAAAAGATTTATTTTGATCAGCAAAAAGAAGACTTTATTGATAAAATATATTAAAAATTACATCAATAAAGAAGTGTTTGGAGCTAAAACAAGCTCCAACCTCCTAGTTGGTGAGAAACCAACGAGCACAACAAGCAGAGGAAACAAAACCAGAAAACCAGAAACATAAGGCACAACAAGCAGAAGAACCAAAAACCAGAAAACCCGACCAAGCACCAAAGCAGGACAGCAGCACTTCGAGGCACCAAAACAGACCAGGCAGAGAAAAATTAACCTTGAACTACATTGCCATGAAATACAACTGCCCAACAACATGCCATACACATTGCCTTAAACTAATATTATTGATGAATGAAAATGATACAACGAACTCACTTTACAAAACATCAATAAGTAAACACTCTAAGTTATGCATGTATCATTCTTACTAGAAGTGAAAATGTTTTGTACGTACTTTTTTGGATTAATAAAAACGCTTGACAAAGTTTTGTGGAAAAAAGGACAAAGTTAGTCATTCGAAAATAGTAAGGGACGGCAATTTAAATGCACAGAATTAATTTGATTTGTATTTTTTTTTTGTTGTTGTTGTTGAGTAAAAGGTAAGAAAAGAAAAGTAGAAAAATATCGTTGGCCAGGGACCAACCAACATACACATACAAGATACAAAAACTGAAAATCAAAAGACAAAGCAAGATTAATTTGTTTTGTTACATATTTAACCTGCCATATGTGTTATTTGGAAATGTTTTTCAAATTGTATTTTTTTTTTCCCTTCAGTATTTAAACATTTAACAAGGCAATCCAGAATAATTACAAATAGGATTGAAAATAAAATTAATGAACTATCTCAACAAAATTTGGCTAATAGTTGACAATTGAACATGAATGTTTTAGATTAAATGTTTCTCTATGTATTTCTCTATGTATATAGCTTTAATATTTAGTATTTAGCTAGAAAATAATATAGCTTTGTGAAAACCTTAGTATTTTTTGGGATATATATGGGGTGTACAGTGGAGGCGTTGAGGAATGCTGACAACTGTGAATTCATCACCATCAATGAAGACAAAGATGGAGATTGGATGCTTGTCGGAGATCCACTGCCACCTAATTAGTGGGAGCACTAATTAGTGCTCCCAAGCATTTTTCTTTAGATTAAATGTTTCTCTATGTATATAGCTTTAATATTTAGTATTTAGCTAGAAAATAATATAGCTTTGGGAAAACCTTAGTATTTTTTGGGATATATATGGGGTGTACAGTGGAGGCGTTGAGGAATGCTGACAACTGTGAATTCATCACCATCAATGAAGACAAAGATGGAGATTGGATGCTTGTCGGAGATGTTCCATGGGAGTATCTCTCTCTCTCTCTCTCTCTCACTCTCTCTCTCTCTGTCTAAATTCATTTGCAAAGTACTAATTAACTACCACCGAGGGTGGTGGCCCAGTGGTGAAGGCATTGCCTTCCCACAGCCATGAGTCAAGTTCGACTCCCGGGGGGCGCGAAAATTCACTTGTTCATGGCTGGGGCGGTTGATGAGCTCCACTGGTGTCTTGGTGGTAGGTCTCTTCCTATGAGTTGGGTTAAACCAGGCCGGCAACCGGCTACCCCGAGGCCTGGGCCTGCGGAGGTCGTGATGCCCCCACAAAATCTCCTTTTTTGTGTTCAAAAAAGAAAAAAAAAAAGTACTAATTAACTAAGCCATTTGTTATATAATCCATGATGTAAGATTTATGATGCATTCAATCTATGACTATGATTTAACCATCTAAGGGCTGATCAAAGCACACATTTAATGAAAATTTAGAAAGGAAAAAAAAAAAATTGGTTGTGAAAATTGCCTTTTTTTTAATGGATTAATCAAATTAATTGTCGGGTTAGGATCATCAATCCACAAAAAGTAGTTGTCTCTAAGTCCCATTACTTATAAGCACATGTTCTGATTTTTTTGAATTGGTAATTAATTAAAAATCAGATCATGTGGTTGTAAATGCATGACATAAGATGGACATATATGTATTTAGGAACAAAGAGAGAATAATTTTGTTCATTCACTAGGTAAACATCTTGATTAGTTATTTCAAAGGAAAGGAATTATTATTATTATTATTATTATTATTTGTTTTTCTTTGTTTTTGGTATAAATAAATCATGGGTCTACTATATACATTGGACTCAATTGATCACACTAGTTTGTATTTCTACCTTAAAAGGTAGAACTTTTAAATTTGTGTTTTGATTTTTGATTTGAAGAAAGATTCATAGATAAAAATAAAAAAGTAAGTAAATAAAATAGAAGTTAGATTTTTATCATGTTTTTCCTTTCTCCTCTCCTTTCTTTCCACATGTAAGATTCAAACACAATTTAAGTGAATCAAGCAAATTTTCTATAATGTGCTTGTTGAAAGAATAATGTTATATGAACAAAATTTGTATAATAAAAACATCCATGTTCATTTAACAAAGTTAAAAAATTTGAACATATTTTTATCGGTTACTTGTAACAACTATAGAAGAATTAAGCTAATGTGTCATGTGCGGGAAATTTGCACTAAGCAGGCAAGCCGTGCTAAGTCATGACTTGAGATGTCGATTGGGTCGTGCAACCGGGCTGGTTCAGTTGAGTGTGGTCTTGCCTGAGGTCTTGGATTGAGGCTGAGCTGACCGAGCTATGCCTAGCTCGGTGGGAATTGCCAGGTCCAGTTGGAGTGCAAAAGGAGAAACCCGCCAATGGTGTGCGTCAATACCGTTTGGCAGTTTGGCCATTGTTGTTTGACGGTATTGACGCGAACACGTGTAAGGAATAGAGAGGGCAGTACAGCCACCTGTCCAGGAAAGAACAGCAGAGGTAGTGCGCGCACAATCCCTGGAGCTGCATGACCAGCCTAGAAAAAGGAAGAATGAGGAACGTTGGAGGTATGCTATAAAAACCACTCTCTCTCTCTCTCGAGAGAGAGAGAGCTCTTCTTCTTCCTCAAGTGACCTAACTTGATTGTCGGAGGGGCTTTCCGGCACCACCTCCGCCGGGCAGATCACCGCCTCTTTGTTTGCAGGCAAGGCGACGTTGTACGAAGCTTGAGTCCAAGGAAGTACGGAAAGCAAAGGATATTTACCCCCGTACAATTGGCGCTGTCTGTGGGAAGACTTAAAACAAACCTAGCTCTTCAAGCTTTTTCGACCGTTGCCATGGCCAACAACGACGAAACTCCACTGTCCGTCATCGATGGTGTCACGCCAGAATCTGTTCGACGGAGAAAAGGACCCCCTGCTATTCCAACCATGGCGGGCCTGAAGACATCTTCGAGAGGTGCGCGAGATAAACGTGCAAGGAGTAGTGATCGCTCGAAGAGTCCAGAGGGACGTCGACGGCGAGGGGAGTTGTATGCACAGCGCTTGGAGCACAAACTCAAAGACCAGGACGCTCTCATTCGCAAGATGGCGGCTGGAATGGAGATGCTGAAACGCCAGATCAAGGGGAAGGGTGTTATTGGAGAGGGCAGCCTCAGTAAGCGCACCCCTTCTCCTCGTTCTGGCAGTCGCCGACAAGAGAAGATGCACTCTCTCTCTCTCTACCACCAAAAGTTATAGGGTCGGGGACTCGGACTCACAGGTGGGCAAGTCTCACACTCGCGACAGCACCTACCGTCCGTCACGACCATCGCCGATGTCGCGATACTCTTTTTCTGCCCATTCCGGAGACTTGAGGGATATGTTAGAGGAGAGGGTTCACCGAAGGGAGACTCAGAGATTGCCAGCATTACAGAGGCTAAGCTCCCAAACCCGTTGTAGTGAGGAAATGGCAATGCCAGCACCCAAAGTGGTGGCCCCAGTGCTTGTGGACGATGAGCTAGCGAAACTTACGGCTACGCCGTTGTCCCCAGAAATTGAGAGTACGCCACTCCCTGCTGGATTCCACCAGCCTAAGTTCACCTTGTACGACGGCAAGACGGATCCGTACATGCACGTGAGTCATTACGGGCAAGTAATGGCTGGACACCGGCACAACGACGCTTTGATGTGCCTCATATTCCCAGCAAGCTTGGAGGAGCTGGGCCTAAAATGGTTCGAAAAACTTCCGGAGGGAAGTATCGAGGGATGGCAGCAACTAGCAAAAGCCTTCGTCACCAGATTCAAAACCAACACTCGAACACCAAAGGTGGTCGACCATCTCCTGGGCGTCAAGATGGAGTCTGGAGGTTCTTTGAAGGCATACGATGCGAAGTACTGGAAAACTTGCAATGAGATCCTCGACTGCCCCACTAATCTGGCGATTACCCAATACAAGCGTGGTCTCCCAGTCAGACATCGACTGAGAGACTCGCTCACAATGAATCAACCGTCGACCATGGACTTGCTCATGCAACGCATTAATGAGCACATCCAAGTCGAAGATGATGCAGTCGCAGCTACCGTGACGGCAAGTCCGGTAGTAGAGAACAAGAGAGTAATACGAAAGGTTTACGCAGTCGAACAAGATGATGGCCATGCAAACCACCATGGAAGAGATATAGAGAGTTCGGTTTTTGGAAGACGTCTGTAAGAAGACCGAGGAAAAGGGGCATAAAGATCGCAGTTTGTAAATGGCCGATCCATTTCTAGAACATCAAGCTCTGCCAATCTAAAGTTTTGTTCTTGGTTTTGTTTCTGTAACCCTTTTGGGCATTGGCGCAATGAAACAAGTAAACTATTTTCTTGAGAATTGTTGTATTTTTGCCTCGCCAAGCGGATTTAGTGCGGTCCTAGGGGCAACTAACGATCATTTTGATGGAAAGATCAAAATTCCTTGCTGGACGGATTTTGCTCGGCAAGAGGTTCGTTGATGATTTTATCAACTTTGAAATTCCTTGTCAGATGGATTTTACTCGGCAAGAGGTTTGTTGATGGTTTTAATCAATTTTAGAGTTCCTTGCCGAGCTGATCTTGCTCGCCAAGAAGCAACTCGCCGAGCGGACCTTGCTCGCCTACCTTGGTGTTCCTTGCCGAGCTGATCTTGCTCGCCAAGAAGCAAGTCGCCGAGCGGACCTTGCTCGCCGACCTTGGAGTTCCTTGCCGAGCTGATCTTGCTTGCCAAGAAGTAAGTCGCCGAGCAGACCTCGCTCGCCGACCTTGGAGTTCCTTGCCGAGCTGATCTTGCTCACCAAGAAACAAGTCGCCGGGCTGACCTTACTCGCCCACCTTGGAGTTCCTTGCCGAGCTGATCTTGCTCGCCAAGAAGCAAGTCGCCGGGCGGACCTAGCTCGCCGACCTTGGAGTTCCTTGCTAAGTTGATCTTGCTCACCAAGAAGCAAGTTGCGGAGCGGACCTTGCTCACTAAGAAGCGAGTCGCGGAGCAGACCTTGCTCGCGACCTTGGAAGTTCCTTACCGAGCTGATTTTGCTCGCCAAGATACAAGTTGCTGAACTGATTTTACTCACCAAGAGGCAAGTTGCCGAGCTGATTTTGCTCGCCAATAAGCCTTGCCGAATTGATTTTGCTTGCCAAAATGTAAGTTACCGAGTTGACTTTGCTCACCAACGTTGAAATTCCACGTCGAGCTAAGCTGATTTTGCTTGCCAAGAAGTTGCCAAACCGATTTTGCTCGCCAACTTTCGGCGAAAAACTGATGATTTGTTCAGTCGAAGAGAATTCTAACCGAAGAGTGAACACGGTCTAGGGGCATCCCATCTAGTTTGGGTTAGTGCTTTCCTTGTGTAAGTTTAAATGATTTGTTCAGTCGAAGAGAATTCTAACCGAAAAGTGAACACGGTCTAGGGGCATCCCATCTAGTCTGGGTCAGTGCTTTGCTTGTGTAAGTTTAAAGCAGGAGCCCAGACTGGGGGGAAAGCAGTAGGGTTAATCTCAATGACTTGATCTTGCCAAAAAGATCTTTGCTCAACATAAGGATAGTTGATAGATTTTACCGACTTTGGAATTATCCACCGAGTGGACGTTGCTCGACCAAATGAGTTGATGACTTACTCAGCTCAAAGAGTTGGTGAGCGGATGTTGCTAGGCCAAATGAGTTGATGAATTGTTCAACTTTAACTTTCCTGGTCGAGGTGACCTTGTAGACGTCCCTGAACGCCCCGGGAGGGATGAGTCCCCCCCCCTCCCCAGTTCTGTTCGTATTGGGCTCACTACAGTTCAGGACTCTCAAATTGTCACGGCTCTAAATTTGAACCAAAGAGTCCAAATCCAGCAAATCGTTTTGAGAAAACAGATTTTGAAAGAAGTGTCAAACATGGACTGCTTTGCCAGATACAGAGTGGCCTTAAGCAAAACGAGTCAGGGTTTCTAAATTTTTCCAAAAATAAACATATTTAGGTGCTGG